TTTTTTTCGTGCTGACTTTAGCTGAGCCCCGGTAGACGTGGACGCCATGTCCTCAATCATCTTGCGATTTTTTAACTCTAAAATGCGCTTCCTTTTAGATTCCAGACTAGTATCAGCGAGATGAGTGTAGAATTTAGCGAGAGTAGCTGACATACCGTGGTTTAAATGGAAATTTATTATCTCCAATTTCTTTCCAAAGGTATCACAACGCGGTTGTATTGGTTTGGTTGTCTGCCTCGGCTTCCAGGCGCTGGTCTGCGGTCGTGACCCATTCTGTCTTCAGTCTGGAGGATTGGAAATGGCAAGGACGACCAATTGCTCAGTGCAGCACATCGCCACTTTCTCTTATTTAGTGTACAAAAATTGCGCTGTTCGGGTGAACAAATGGTACAGAGTAATAAAACCTTATACTTCTTTCTTGTCGTGATTGGCAGATATTTCTGTCCTGATGAACATATCATCCGGATGGACACATGTTATACAGTATGTAAATATAAACAGTAATACTTACTTGATCTTCTTTTTGAAGGTCCGCATTACACTGACATCCATCAGTTGACTGAAGGCAGAAACACCTAATGGGATGTCCTGAGCCTGCGTCGAGCACTCAGTCTCGAGCATCTCGCGAATGCTTGCCATTCTGTGAACTTTTAGACTGTCCAAAAGTAACATTCGGCAGATCTTCCGAATAATACATTGAAGTGAGAATACTATTACAATATTTTTATTGAATAACGTATTTTCACTATACTCGAAAATAAAAGTAACGTACTCCGGCAATTTCGTAAATTACTGTGGTCCACATTAGCTGTCTGAGAACCAACCACTTTGGTTGGTGAGCTGCACCTCAACGCTGCCGACAAACCAATATTTCTTCATTCTCCAATCTAGCATGGCTCCAACAAGTACTTTTAACAGCAAAGAAGTCTCTAACTTCTACTTCAAGCCCGTTCTCGACTTCCAGGACGAGCCAACAGGTTGTTTTTGCTGTTGATGCTGAACGGCTCGCAAGCAAGATTCTAAGACTGGCTACACGAACCTAATGAGCCATGTACGGGCTCAGCACCCCAACTTTGCCGCTGAGATTGCCTGCAGCTGCCTCTCCAGCGGCACGCCAATTGGCTTTTGTCGACTTGAAGAGTCAGACGATCTTCAGCTGGATCGACTGGGTCGTTTCTTGCAACCGTCCGCTCAGCTTTCTGGAGAACCATACGGTTGCCAAGTACGCCGCTGTACCATTTCTTTCCACCGAAACCCTCGAGAAGTGCATGATACTTCTAACGATGACGTTAGAAGACATCATTGCTGAGGTTCTTCCCAAACGGTTTGGAATTATGTGGGACGGGTGGACATTTCGCTCCGAACACTACATTGCTGTGTTCGCCGTTTTCGCCCACGACGACAAGATGGAGAAGATCTTGCTCGCCATGGCCCCCTAGTGGACGACGATCAGGGGTTGGCAGTAGTCTCAGAAATAGTAGACTTGGGTACTACTACTACTACTATTATTTTGATAGTAGTCATATTACTACCACTTATGTGGTATTCACTATCGGTAGTAGTATCACTCTCTCACCGTAGTACGACAGTACTTTTAAACTACTATTTCGAGGCACCCTTAATGAGCAAGGCAAGCCCTCATTTCGCAATTCTTGATCGTGTGGCTCTCGTCGAACAGTGGCTCATTTGACAGCAACCGGAACGAGCATCACTTACGCAGTCTAATAGGCGAGGGCAGTATGGGTTGCTCGGTGACGGGCTGCCAGGAAGGTGATGAACTTAAAACAGATCCGTGCACCGTGTGCGGAAAGCTCGTACACCACATGTGCGCTATTGCAGTCTTCGAAGGCGCAGAGTCAGCACTGAACGAGAGGTAGTAATGTATATCTTCACACTTTCTACGAGATGTTATTCATTAACACTTCCTCGTAGATTTTGCAGTCAAGCCTGTGTGCACGTCGTGTATCCACCCACCCCTGTCCTTCCTCCTTCAGTTTTTAATACTGAAAAGCGGGGAGCTGCTTCTGGCGCGTCGAGCAACATTTGGATTGGCTCAGATTCCGACTTCATACCCTCGCCGGATCTAGCTGAAAAGACAGTTGTCGAGCCTGAAGCTAAGTGACGCAGAACTAGTTTTAGCACTACTACAACTAGCTCTTCGACTGGAAAAAGGAAAGCTTCTTCTAAGAAGTCTAAGCCGAGTGTCGCCAGTCACCTAGGGTCGCCATCGCCGCAGCCTGCGGCACCCGTATCGGAGCTTGGTATTCCACTTACGATAAAGCACGCGCGTAGGCCGCGCTGTCCCGACGACATTTGGGATCTCATACATACTCTGGAAGTTCCGTACAAGAAGCAGAACCCGTGGAAAAAGTCTAGTATTCTGTACTGTGATATTTGCCTGCTCTGCTGCGAGAAAATTAAATCCCGAGCCAAGACAAACATGTACAGTTGGGAGGAGGCTCTGTGTAACAAGACGCATGCCAGCAACGCGAAGGACCATGCTAAGTTGAAGCACGCGGACCACCCGCTGGCAATTTTGGCGGACCAGAGTGCGACCGAGAAGTCGAGACTGCAGAGACTGACGCTGATGCTGTGCTAGACCTGACAAGAGGCACCGGTGGCGCTGTTGCATCGACTACCCCGTCTCCTGGAGCTACTACTGGAGCTACTACTTCTGGTGAATCAGGTTCGCGCTTCTTTCGAGCCACCGAGAAAACGCTAAACGTCCTCATCTCGAAGTTTCTGGTCTCTCAAGGGTTACCATACACCCTCTGCGCATCTGAGCCTTTTAAGGACGTCATCCATGCTGCTACTGGCAACCCTTCATTTGCAGTTCTGGGTCGCGACAAGCATGATCGGCTTTTAAACTGACAATTTCAGTTGTTTTGCGAGCTTGTAGGAGCAGTACTATCTACGGAGTATGAGAATGCCTGCCAACTCAAGTACCTCAATCTTATGCACGACATTTGGACTTCCAGTGGAAAAGAGAGTATTGTTGGTGCGTCTGTCGCCTTCATCGACAGTTCCTGGAGGTTCAGATTTATTGCGGTGCTTGCCTGTGTAAAAAATGACGGGCACAATGCGCCCAGCGTCGCGAAGGTCATTGAGAGTACTATCCAGACAAGGTACAATGTCGACATCCGGCGCATGACTCGATTCACCATGTCCGACACGACTCCTTCTGCAAAAAAATGTTGCCGATCGCATCGATACAGAGCAAGAGAGCTGTTCTATGCATATACCAAATCTGTGCATTGGATACGGTATCGGACTGAAGGACAATATCCAGACTGTCACTGTATGTAACGACTCCACTACTTCCTGGGACAAAGTAGTCAAGATAGTAACGCCTGGAGGAGCTCTTGAGGAGGGCGGCAACGTGATTAGGAAGCTTCGGAATCTGAACAACTACTTCAGATCAGTCAAACAGCGAGCGGCATTGAAGAAAATCCAGGAGGCGCTTTCATATCCAGAGCTCGAGCCCATGACAGACCAGGACGTCCGCGTTGTCTGTACCTGCAAGCTAATTAGAAGGTCGGTCGTCAACTATTTCAAGCATATTTTCAGTCCGTCAAAGATTCTAGTAGCGTGTGGACAGCTTTAACAGCCCAGGACTGGATGCTTGCCGTAGAAATGGAGGCAGTAACCCACTTCACGCGAATCTCGCTCTTGTAGAAACCCAAAGCGAGAATCTCGTATCGTCCTACATGGTCGTCTTTCGGCGACTAGCCGAGAACAAGCTGAAGGCTTTTAAGTTCGAAAGAATGGCAATTGAGGCTCCTGGAGCCAAATCCGCAAACGAAACTAGCCATCGTCGAGTTCTGCGCACGCATGACCAATTCTCGGACGCTGGTTAAGTATGTCTAAGAAGAACATTGTTGCAGCTACAAGCACGATTCCCCAAGGTGACCAAGGAGGCAATGACTTGTGTTTTACTGGATCCGCGTACCAAGTCCAGCGCCAAAATAATCGCCGCGGTAGGCGATGTTCCGCGCAAGGAGGAGAAAGCAATCTACAAAAACGGTATCGATTTATTACGCGAAGAGCACAGACAAGTATTTGCACAGTTGGCCAAAAGCGGAAAGATCGCGCTCTCTCAGTCGTCACAGTCTAGTTTGCTTAGCCAAGGGTCCACCTCCCCCTTTTCGTCACCAGCTTCAACTGGTTGGGACGACGAAGACGAACACCTCCTAGGAGCTCCAATCCGGACGAGCAAGACACGTGAAGAAGTGAAGGAGACTGAACTCAATGCTAGGGCTGATGCTGTGATGAAGGAGTGGTTAAATTTTGAAACCGGAGTGGCTAGAAGTTGCTCAGAAGCAGAATCCTGATATCCCGAAGGAGGAGCTATCGAAAGAGATGTCAATCGACTCGCAAAATGGTATGCATTGGGCACTTCTG